AGGGTTAGGGCGCAGCTTTAATATATAGGAGTTTTTTATATAATATAATATATATATACTAGATATAAGGTCCTGATTTTAGTTCTCATGAGGGTCCTGAGCATTTTTACTTAAGATACCCAATCCCGTTTACTTAGTACGTTTTTGAGATATAGCATAGGGTTAGTATAGGGTGTTATATAACACAGTGTTATGAATATAACTTTCCTATATATATATATATATATATACTATAATTATTAGAAATTTATATTATAACCTTTTTAAACTGTCCAGATAACTTTCAATCAGACAGTACAGTCCGACATTCGCTAGCTTATCGATCCGTTCTAGGAATGCATGCATACATACATACGTATATGCAAAAGTTGATTCTAGCAATTTAAAGCGGGTAATAAAATTTTTCGAGATTCAGTGTCGGATTCTATCCGAGTGATAACACTGCTCGAGAAGTCTTAACTATCAGCACCTTAACTTTTTTATAATCGATTTATACTAACATTCTAATATCAAATACCAGTTTTTCTTGTTTGAAATTAATGTTTCAACATCTAGTTTTTTTTTTTTGTTAATATCTTTATTTAGCAGCAGCAGGAAAATTAACATTTGTATATAAAGCGTAAGAAAATAGAAATAATATGTGATATTTGCAAAATTTTCCATCTGGGTACGTCTACACAATACAAATCTTACTACGTAATGATTTATAAAATTTATGGACGTACGAGAAATAATTCGCCTTTTTCTACTAAAAAAATTGCATCTAAGCTTGTTTTAATACCAAGCAGTCAATGTGGAAAAGTATTTCTAATAAATGAATATACATTCAGATTAGAAATGTGAGCAAAAGTTAAGCAAAATATATAATATATTATAAATTACCAATCTTCCTCTGCCTTTATATTTGACTGGTGGTGATGGAGACTTAGACCTAGAACGATCTCGCTCACGATTTCTTTCTGAATCATGCTCATCGTCATTTGCGCGATCAGCTTCTTTCACTCGTTCAACTTCTTTCACCCGTTCAAAAACCGTGGAACGCTCACGCGGTTTATTGGCTTGATTTACTCGTTCGGGTGATCCATCAGATTTAGTCTTCTGTTCCAAGGAAATATTTTTGTCTATATCACGATCTCTGCTCTTGCTACGATCCCAATTACTATCCCGAATTGGGCTTCGGTTTTGATCTCCAACTGGACTTTTATCATGACTGTCTTCACGATCACGGCTTTTGTCTCGATTTTGAGATAGATGGCGGTTTTCACTTTTATCTCGAATTCTATCACGACTTCGTCCACGAACTGGTTCTCGGCTTCGTTCTCGATCACGTCTTTCTCGACGGCGGGATGGAATATATGTATCAGCGGGCCTATAACTATCCATAGTTAAACGCCTTGGTAATGGACTCCTACTACGAGAACGTGAAGCCCTTCGTGCACGTGATTTAGACACTGATCGACGTGACTTGGAAGCTGAACGACGACGCGGGGAGTAGGATCTTGAACGCGAGACACGCCGCGCATCCGGAGAACTGGTCCGAGAACGTGACTTTCGGCGTACTGCAGGCGATCTTGAACGAGACTTAGAAATACTACGATTTCTTTTCTTTTCTTTGCGTTTTTTCTTGGATGACTTTTTCTTTTTCTTTTCTTTCTTCTTACGACGTTCCTCTTCAGATTCACTACTAGATTCGCTTAACGAATCAGAAGATTCTGATCTGGGCCTCTTTGAAGACTTTTTACGCTTCTTTTTCTGCGATCCAAAGCCAGATTCTGATGAGGATCCTGATGATTCCTTTTTCTCTATATATTTTTGCTTGGTTTTATCTTTAACTATAGCAAATGTTAATGTAATATATATCAATAATAATTTGCTAAATTCGTGTATGAAGTTATCAAAACTTACTTTTCACGTTCGGAGGAATTCTCAATTCCAATTCACCACACTGCGCTATCATAGCAATTCCAATCGGACGATCATCATCATCTACTGGTGTACTTTCAATTGCCTGGACGACCTCAAACCCAGTAACGACTCTTCCAAAGACAACATGTTTACCTATTGAAAAACAGATTTTATTTAATGTACTCACTTTACCCGAAATTTAATTAGTTAATGTTGATGATGATACCGTCCAAATGAGGTGTAGGCCTTAAAGTGATAAGGAATTGTGAATTGTTAGTATTTGGACCTTTATTTGCCATAGACAGGAGACCTTCTTGATCGTGTTTACGACGCATGTTTTCATCTATGACAGTTATTTCAATTAATGAAACGCCATAACCATAAAAAGATTATAAAAAAAAATTAAAAATTCATTCACTAATGTAACATAACTAACCAGCAAAGGATCCTCCGTAAATACTTTCACCACCGGTACCATTCCTTCTCGTAAAATCTAAAATTTTTGAGTTCTTACGAACTTAAATACTATAATAGTGCTAATTTTTTTGATAACAATTTAAAAAGACATTGTCGGCTATACAATTACCTCCTCCTTGTATCATAAACCCTTTGATTACCCTATTAAAAGGGATATAATGATCAGAAATTATTCTTAAAAACAATGATCAATAGTTCAAAGTTTCTAAATGAAAGTATACATTACCTATGAAAAATAGAACCACGATAATGAAGAGGCATATTGCTTTGTTTTCCGACACCTTTTTCACCTAAAGAAATGCCATTCAAAGTGTTAATACCATACAGTAAATAATAATGCAAAACTAGTGAATTCTCTGAAATTATATACCAGTACAGAGAGCTCTAAAATTTTCCGCGGTCATCTGAAAATATATAAACGCTTGGTCAACACAATCAATACAATACTATATATAAATTTGTTTTTAAATCAAAATACATACAGGGACCTCATCTTTAAATAATTCCATAACAATCCTTTGGAAGCACAATGGAATAATGTAAGTCATATATGGTTCAGTTTACGAGTTTGAAGCACGACGGTTTTGCCATTAAGTTTGAGATGTCTCCAAACAGTTGGTAAAGGTCTTATATATTGCTCGATTTGAAGCAGCCATGTACCTGCCAACTAATAGTAGAACGACGATAAATGAAAACCAAGTTTGTGATTTTTAAATCGATCAATAAAATAAATCCAACTAACCTCGGTGTCCATCGATGTCAATGTCAAAAAATACGCGTGGATTCATTTTATAAAGCTGATTAAATGATATGATATTCAGTCTTCAACATCGCCCGCGTACTTGTACCGCAGTGCTGTATTAATCGGAAGTAAAATTATTAATATTATACTAGCACTTTGAGTATGACCAGTTCCTTTTATTGACTACGTATAATGTCAGGTGATTTTATCTATATTGGCTATAATACAGTAATAGCTTATCCCACCATCTTCTAAGCTAAAATAAAAGCGTACTACACGTTAAAGTAATTGTTAGAGAAATAATACAAACCCCAATACTATTTTTTATATAAAATTTTATATAGTTAGCAATGTTTTTTAAAAAATATCTTGGCATCTACTAGGCTAATTTGGATAATTTGACTATAAAAAAAATTTTACTTCTAATACAAGTCTTAATTTTATTATTAAATCACTAAAGGTGTAATAATAAAAATTGTTTTTTATATAAGCTATATATATAAACACACTGTGTAGTTATTTTCTAATATATATAGTATACAGTATATTTAGATTTTAAAAAATCCGAATAAATATTTAAGTTTGATTAAAAATAGGTTATTTCAAATTTTTAATAATAATAAATTTAAAGAAAATAAAGCTAACAAAAATTATATAAAGTTGCTTCTTTAAAATAATATTATCAATATGGATAAAATTAAAAATAATTAAACAGACAACAGCTTGATTGATAAGATTATAAAAATAAAAAATTAAAAATAAATATCTGAATTTATAAATTTTAGTAACTAATTTACTAAAACAAATTGCAACCAAATAAATATTTCTAGTTTGGTTAAAAAATCTTTTGTAAATAGTTATTTTGATTCATTTAAATATAAAAATTATAATATAGCTCAAGACATTATAAAACATTAATAAGTTATCTGTATTTGAAATTATATTTTTTATTTTTATTTTTTTTTATTTTTTTTTTTATTCTTTGACAGGTCTTGTTGTAACTCGAACTCTTAGTTTGTAGTACATATAA